TTCGGGACATCCCGCGTGGGCTGTGCCGTCCATCCGAGCCCATCCGAGTCCACCCAGGGCAGCGGCGGCCGAGCATCCCCGAGGTGCCGGCGGGGGTTCGGGGGCACGGTCGGTTTCTGCGCTCACCCCGCGGGCGAGGGGGGGGCACCCAAGCGGTTCTCTCCGTGCCCCCACCCCCAACCCAACACTACACGCCCCCGCCGCCGCTCCCCGCTCCCGGCCCGGCCCCGCCGCCGCCCCGCCCGCCCCCCGCCCGCCTCCCGGCCCCGTCGCCGCCGCCACCGCCCGCGGGGAGACGGCCCGGAGCGCAGAGCCAGGTGGGTCCGCGGGGCACCGCGAGTGGGGCGGCGGGACGAGAAGGAGGGGGGTTGGAGGGCGAGGGACACTGCGCGGCCACCACGTGGGGACATTGCGCATGGAGACGGCACGGGGACGCTGCGTGGGGACGGGGCATCGCGTGGGCGCCGCTGCCCGGGGACACGGTGTGGCCCCCGTACGGGGACATGGCATAAGGGACCTGGCACAGGGACGTGGCACAGCCCTCACCTGGGAATGTGACACCGCGTGGGGACACGGCGCGGCCCCCCGCGTGGGATAAAGGAGCGGGATGCTGCGTGGGGAAGCGGTATGGCCACCACTTGGTGGAGTTCACTGCGTGGGGGGATGCTGAGGATGAGCCCGTGGCGGGGCATGGCACCAAACGCTGCGTGGCAGTGTGACACTGAGGTATGGCACAGGTGACACTGAGGTATGGCACAGGGACACGGCACAGCCCTCAAACGGGGACGCCGTCAGGGGACAGTGGGAATGGGGACGCTGAGTGGGGACAAGGCATGGAAACCTGACACAGGACACGGGGACATGGCACAGGGTGCTGCATAGGGATGCTGTGTAGGAACATGGCATGATTTCTGCTTGGGGACGTGGCCCAGGGATGTGACACACGGGGACCTAGCAGAGGGCACTGCCTGGGGACACAGCCTGGCCCTATCCGGGTGGGGATGTGGTGCAGGGATGTGCCCCTCCTTTGGATGGGGATGCTGTGTAGTCTCTTTGCTTGGGGACGTGGTTTGTCCCCCTTCATCTGACCATGGGGACACCACCCCTCCATTTGTGAGGGACGCTGTGCAGTGCTATCACCGTGTGCCCCTGCCTGGGGTCCTGGAGGCTGCAGCTGGGGCTCTTCTCCCCCCAGCTCTCACCCCACACCCAAGGGACCTTGTATGGGACTGTCCCATTCCTTGTGATATCCCAAGGACACACCACCTCCCCACAGGACAACCCAGCTGTGGCGGCCGGGGAGGGGGCCTGACCCCCCCCTATGGCAGGGGACAGCCGTCGGGGGCCACCGCAGAGCACCATCCCTTATCAGCCCATCTCAAGCACCCAGGAGGCCACCTGCACCCATCAACCATGTAGGCTCCACAGCTGGTCACCATGTACCAGCGCTGCGCGGCCGTCCTCTGTGAGTACACATCACTGGGAGGTGGGGGGGACACCCCTGGAGGGGGTGAGCAACGGATGTCCCCATGGAGGGGTCCCCATGGGGTGATGCTGCTCTGCAGGTGTCCTGGCCGTGCTGGGGCTGGAGGTGGCTGCGGTGGGGGAATGTGAGCTCGCCCGACTGCTGCAGGACAAGCTGCGGTATGAGAGGCGCCTGCAGTACATGGTACGGCCCTGTCCCCTGCCCTGCCACCCTGCCACGTGTTCCCAAGTTCCCCGTGCCCAGAATTGGGGTGTGCAGTCAGAGCAACTTTCTGGTGACCCTATGGGGCGGCCCCCAGAGCAGGGTGCCCGCTGTGGGCACAGTTGTGGAGACCTTGGTGGCACAGTTGATGGGACACCGGTGACCCAGCTGGTGGGACATTGGTGGCACAGTTAGTGGGACATTGGTGGCACAGATATGAGGATCTTGGTGGCACAGGTGTAGGGACCCTGGTGATGCAGATATAGGGATTCAATCGGCACAGATACGGGGACCCTGGTGACACAGCTAGGGACCCTGGTAGCATAGATATGGAGATGCTGGAGGCACTGCTGGAGGAACCCTGGTGGCACTGCTGGTGGGACACTGGTGGCACAGATATGAGGACCCTGGTGGCACAGCTCTGGGGACACCGGTGGCCCTCACACTCCTCTCCACCTCTCCAGAAGCACAACTTCCCCATTGACTACACTCTCCGAGTGCAGCACGAGGAGGTGCTGCGGACAGCCAACATCACCCGCCTGGTGAGCTCACGTTGGGGACACTCAGTGACAGTGGGGGGCAGGGAGGGGAGGTGGGAGTCTCCAGCCACCAGGGTCTCACCCAACACCACATCCCCCTTTCTCCCACAGCGTGACAAAAAGGTATCAGAGGCATCCCTGCGCTACCTGTGGTTCCACGCCTGTTCCCAGGCAGTGCTACACATCCTCGAGGTGCTGCCGGAGAAGCACCCGTCCCATGAGTACACGCAGGAGCTGAGCCAGCTTTTGGATGCCCTGGGCATGGAGTACAGTGGGTACCGGCAGGTAGGGGATGGTGTGGGCAGGGGGATGTGGGTGCACCTCACCCCGCACAGCTCTGCAGTGAGGTTGACTCCAGATGTGGGGCCGTGGGGCAGCGCCAGGGAGGAGCTCCACATCTGGCATTGGTGGTTCAGTGGTAGAATTCTCGCCTGCCACGCGGGAGGCCCGGGTTCGATTCCCGGCCAATGCAGTGTTGTAAAGCTTTTGCAAACTTCTTTCTTGGCCCCTTCCCCCCTCGTTCTTTGACAGCCTCTCTCTGCGTTCCCCAGGCCATGGGGAACCATCCTCTTTGCCCCTCTTTGCCCTTGCCAGCTTTTTGTGTTAACTCTGAAACCTAATGACAGCACCTGCTTAGCCACAGAGGCAGGAGTCCCCTCCTGTCCCAGCAGTGCGTGCCCCACTGCTGCCACCCCATCCCAGCTCTGCTGCAGTGCAACAAAACCCGTGAGTGAGCACTGCAGAGCCCCAAACATCTGGCATTGGTGGTTCAGTGGTAGAATTCTCGCCTGCCACGCGGGAGGCCCGGGTTCGATTCCCGGCCAATGCAGAGAAAAGCAAGCTTTTTTTTTGCCCCCTTCTCTGCATTGAGCAGAGAGGCCCAGAGTGTCCCTTTTTACTCCACGCTGTGGGGTGTTGGTGGCAGTGGGTCGCAGTGCTGGGGGTCAGCCCTGCTGTGCACAGCCCTACCCACGCGGTGGCTGCGAGTTCTAATGGACCCTGTTAACTCTGAAGCCTAATGACAGCCTCTCTTCACCAAGCTGGTTCTCAGGCGGAGGGAAATGGGTGCTGTGATGCACTGAGAGCTTGGAGCAGGAGCTGTGTGCGCTGGAGTCGCCCCGGCCGGTTGTTGGCCCAGAGTTTGGTGGGGAAATATTGTTGGTAGGAGGACGGTTGGGCTTGGGTGATATTGGAGGTCTCTTTATGGGACACGCTGCCTGGGTGTGAGCCAGCAGTGTGGGGAGCCCTGCATCTGGCATTGCTTGTTCAGTGATAGAATCCTCCTCTGTCATGTGGGTTCAACTCCTGAACCAATGCAGCACCCCAAACTCTTTGCCCCCATCGACGACGTGGCAGTGCCACATCCCATGTCCCCGCAGAGCGACGTGGACGCGGCCGTGGCCGACCTGGTGAAGCAGCTGCACAGCGGCGATAGCCGCCTCAAGGCCGTGCGCCCCAAAGCGCTGCTGGACAACTGCATCAAGGTGCTGCGGATGCTCTTCGGGGCTCACTGTGAGTGCTGGGGAGGGACAGCAGGGAAGGACGGGGGTCTCCGTGGTCCCTTTCCTCTTGTGACCTCTGTCTCTTCTGCCCAGGTCGGTGGGACTCCGCTTAATGCCGACCCATTGAGGAGGATGAGGATGAAGGCACACGTGGGGGGTGATGGCAGTGCCGGCTCCCTTTTCTTTTGTACAATTTTTTAATTCCCGCTCCCTCGGCTTTCATTAAGCACCAAGTAACGTCCTAGCGCTCGAATCTTAACTGCAATAAAGAGATGCAGAGCCATCACTCCTGCCGCGTCGTTCGGCGAGCCTTTCCCCTCCCTTTGGCTTTCCGAAGGAAATTCGGATATATAACTCCAGATGGACCAGATGTTGGCTATCTCCGTGTCTTGCCGTGACCCCAGCTTTCCCAGAGCATCTCAGTGGCAAATAGTTGGCCTCACGATTCTCCGAGAAACCTCTTGAGATGTCTCTGCGTCTCCTGACTTGCTATGGGAGGATGCTCACGCGCCCCCGAGCTGGGACTGCTGAAAATAAAAGCAACCTCACAGATGCTGGAGTGGGAAGAATGTTTGCTGGTGGGAACAGCAGAGAACAAACCATCATCAGCGCCAGGCAGGCAGGATGCCTGATGAGGGGAGCTGAGCTCAGTGGGTGAAGGCTGTGGGATGCCTGAGGGCTGTGGTTTCAGGGCTCCTGCTCAGAGCAGTGGGTGGCTCCATCCAGCCTGATGTCTGTGTTTGCCCTATAGAATAAGCATCCTTCCCCAAGGACTTCACTCCCTGTGGACATCCCTCCCCGTGGCCATCCTATGATGGACGTCCCTCCCTGTATGGAGACATCCCCTTTCCTATGGATGCTCATCCCCATGGGCATCCCTTGCCGTATGTAGTGGACATCCCTCCCCACAGACATCCCTCTCCCTGGACGCCAACCCCCATGGACGCCCTTCCCAGTAGCTATCCTTCCCCATGGACATTTCTCACCATCCGTATCCCTCTCCATGGACATCCCTCACCTTGGACAACCATCCCCGTGAATATCCCTGCCCATATACACCTCCCCATGGACACCCTGGACATCCCACCCATGGACATCCTTCCCCGTGGACACCCCTCACCCTGCACATCCCTTCCCCATGGACATTCATCCTCATGGCCATCCCTTTCCAAGTCCAACCCTTTGCCAGCTTGGCAGCCCCATCATATAGGGCTTCCTGACTCCATCAAACAAGCCTGTCTGCGGCCATCAGCAGCTTTTATTGAGCTCAGCAGCTGGGGACATGGATGCTGTGGTCACCATGGCAGCCTCTGTCCCTTCCAGTCCCAGAAGGTGCCATTGCTGTTGGTGGAGAGGTTGGCGAGGACTTGCAGGACGCCTTGGGTGCTCTCTTCCAATGTCACTGGTCCCTGTGGAGTCAAGGATACGGGGTGAGCCCTCAGGACATGAGAAAGGACTCTCACTCCTGACAACCTTTTATTGGAAAATTCAATTAATGGTGTATAATTAATAATCCATCAATCCCTCCACACATTGCATCTCTGGTCTCACCAGCACTGGGCACCGCTGTGGGGTGGGGAAGCCCTAAGGTGCTGCTTCCCCTTGTGTTTGTGATGTAGCACTGAGCGTGGGGCTGGGGTGCCCTCTGCTGACACGCAGGCTCTGATGGAAATGGGAAAATAATGCCAGAAATCGGAGGATTTGGGGCGAGAGCTGAGAAGTGTGGCACAGCACCCATGTGAACCAGGCGGGTTCTGTGGGATGCCTCTGGGGATGGGTGGCTGTGGGGAAGGGGTGCCCATAGGAGGAACATCTGTGGGGAAGGGTGTCCTTAGGAAAGGGGTGTTCATGGGGAAGGTTTGCCCATGGGAGGAGCATTAATGGGACGGACTTCCATGGAGAGGGATGTCCATGGGTAGAATGTCCATGGGGAAAGGGATGTCCATGGGGACGGATACCCATGGGAGGGATATCTATGGGTAAGGTTGTCCCTAGGAGGTATGCCACACAGAGTAGTGGGTAGGATGTCCATGGGGAAAGAGATGAATGGCTAGGATGTCCATGGGGAGGGATATCTATGGGTAGGATGTCCATGGGGAGAGATATGAAGGGCTAGGATGTCCATGGGGAGGAATATCTATGGGTAGGATGTCCATGGGGAGAGATATGAAGGGCTAGGATGTCCATGGGGAGGGATATCTATGGGTAGGATGTCCATGGGGAGAGATATGAAGGGCTAGGATGTCCATGGGGAGGGATATCTATGGGTAGGATGTCCATGGGGAGAGATATCTATGGGTAGGATGTCCATGGGGAGAGATATGAAGGGCTAGGATGTCCATGGGGAGGGATATCTATGGGTAGGATGTCCATGGGGAGAGATATCTATGGGTAGGATGTCCATGGGGAGAGATATGAAGGGCTAGGATGTCCATGGGGAGGGATATCTATGGGTAGGATGTCCATGGGGAGAGATATGAAGGGCTAGGATGTCCATGGGGAGAGATATGAAGGGCTAGGACGTCCATGGGGAGGGATATCTATGGGTAGGATGTCTAGGGAGAGACATCAGCAGGAAGAATATCCATGAGTAGAATACCCAAGGGCGCAGATGCCCACTGGGAAGGGATGTCCATGGAAAGGGGACGTATCAGTGGGTAGGATGTCAGTGGGGATGAGATGCCCGTGGAGACATTATCAAACCAAGATGGTGGCGGCCTCCACATCTGCCCCATCACTCACCATCCCGTCTCCTGGTGGCGGTACCACACAGCCAGGATCCACGGACACGCAGAGGATCCCGCTGTCACCATACTCCAGAGCCAGGCACTTGGTGAGCATGTTGAGAGCAGCCTAGGGGGGACGCCACCACCACCAGCACGGAAAGGCACCACTGCGGCCAAAGGTGGGACTCCAAAGAACGTGACCCCCAACCCTCACCCCACACATACCTTGCTGCAGCGGTAGGACACGTCCTGCCTCTCAGCCCACGCCTCCACCACCTCGATGGAGCCCAGGACGCTGGAGATGTTGACGATGGCTGCTCTGCCACAGCTCAACCCCTGCCCACCGTGTGTCTCTGCAGCTTCCTTCAGCAGAGGCATGAACGCCTGCGGGGTACGGGCATCACCACCCCATCCCCATCCTCATCCTTTGGGGTAGGGGTGCACATAGCCCTACCTGGCTGATCTGCAGGGGCCCGATGGTGTTGGTGGCGTAGATGAGGGCCATGTTTTCAGCTGTCTCAGTGGCCAGAGTGCTGCGACGCCTGGCCCCGGCGCTGTTGATCAGGAGGTTGAGGCCAGAACCGCGCAGCTCCTCCTGCACCCTGCCCACCGCAGCCTGGATGCTGCTGGGGTCTGTCGTATCTGTGTGGGAGATGGGGACATGCTGGGGGCTGTGCCGGATGCGGGATGCTTTGAGGTGGCTCCTGATCAGCCATCTGGTCCCAAAGGAAGAGCTGCTCTTGACTGAGTCACACTTTCTGTAGGGTGCACCTACCTAGAGGCAGGATCACGACGCTGGGGTTGCACAAAGCCATCTCATTGAGAGCCTGAAGGGAGAAAAGGAGGCTCATGGAGTGGGGGGCAGCCCCACGCCCGTGCAGCAAGTCGGTGACAACCCAGGGGATGAGCAAAGGGGAGATATTAGGGGTCAGTCCCTGCTGCTCCGCAGCTCCCACTTACAAATCCACCACCTCCAAATCCACCACCTCCAAAACCACCACCTCCAAATCCACCACCTCCAAAACCACCACCTCCAAATCCACCTCCTCTAAAACCACCACCTCCAAATCCACCACCTCCCAAATCCACCACCTCCAAATCCACCACCTTCAAAACCACCACCTCCAAATCCACCACCTCCCAAACCACCACCTCCAAATCCACCACCTCTAAATCCACCACCTCCAAATCCACCACCTCCAAAACCACCACCTCCAAATCCACCACCTCTAAATCCACCACCTCCAAATCCACCACCTCCTAAACCACCACCTCCAAATCCACCACCTCCAAATCCACCATCTCCAAAACCACCACCTCCAAATCCACCACCTCCAAATCCACCGCCTCCAAATCCACCACCTCCCAAACCACCGCCTCCAAATCCACCGCCTCCAAATCCACCGCCTCCAAATCCACCACCTCCAAATCCACCACCTCCAAATCCACCACCTCCAAATCCACCACCTCCAAATCCACCACCTCCAAATCCACCACCTCCCAAATCCACCACCTCCAAAGTCACCATCCCCAAAAATCACCATCTCCAAAGTCACCACCTCCAATACCGTTGTCCCCAGAACTGCTATGGATGTTGCCACCATCACAGCGGTAACCAGAACCCCCCCCCCCCCTCCCAGGACACCAAACTGAAGATTCTCTACACAAAAAGCAACCAAAACCCCAAACCCACATCACCTCCCCTTCCACCTTCCCCTTCCCAACCCCACCCAAGCCCATGTCATAGGGCAGCAGCACTTGCAGATGGTGCCTCTCCTGCCACCCTTTCGTCCCCAACGCGGGGACCCCCCTGTCCTCACCTTCCCATCGGGGTCGGTGCAGGCTGCAAAGAGCTGCTGCGGTGGGCTGGGCAGCTCCAGGAAGCGTTTGAGCAGCTCCAGCCCCATGCCCCCATCGCAGCCCGTCACCAAGACGCTGCGGGCGCTCGGCCCCTCCATGCTGCAATGGCTTGGGCAGGGCAGCCACCTCCACACCATTGGCAAATCAAGCCCGTAATTATCGGGGCGGTGCTGGTGACGATGCCAAAACCCCGGGGTGGGAGCAGAGATGTCACGTTGCATTGGGATCCCAACCCCCCACCGTTCTTCTTGCTGCAACCACCCAGCAACGCTGTTGGGTTCAACCATAGGGGGACCACGACCCTCCAGTCCTCATAGACCACCATGGGCAAGGCTCTTAATTACAGTACAACCTTTATTAATACTGGAATCTTCACAGTGCATTCGTTACTTGTAGCAGTGACTATTGAAATCAAGGGCTGGGTGGGAAACTGGGGGGGGAGGCTGGGGGGGGGGGGGGGGAATTACCACAAAAAAAAAAAAAAAAAAAGAATTAAAAATTGAAGAAAAGAACAAAAAAAGGGGAGTAGGGGGGGAAGTGAAAGAAAGAAACGTGGCCGAGGGAAGGGGGAAGCAGCGGCAGAGGCGGGAGCACAGCGGGGGGGGGGAAATAAATTAAAAAAAAAAATAATTAAAAAAAAAAAAAAAGGAACAAATGAACAACAGCACCAGAAAAGTTACTTCGGTCAAAAGACAATTTTTTTTTTTTCTCTCTTTTTTTTTTTTTTTTTTCTCTTTTTTTTTTCCCCCTCCCCCCCCCCCAAAGGAATTTTTTTGTTCTCTGTACAAAATGCGAAGGAGACCCCCCCCACCCCCCCCCCCACCCGACCCCCTTCCTCCCCCAACCCTCCCCCCCAACCCCAAACATTTGTCACTTGTCATCATCAGTATCTCTGGTCACAATAAGGGGCCGGGGAGGACTACGTTATTCCTATGGTGGGGACGGGCGATGCGACACACAGGTGAGCTATGTACAATGGGGGGGGGGACAGGACGGGCTGTGCTCCCCCCGCTGCCCCGGCCCCAAAATGAGGTGTGCGGGATGGGGACATGGGGACGGCGGGGACACCCCGCTCCTGGCGCTGCTCCTGCCCCGGTCCCGGCCACAGTGGGGATGGACGGGGTCCTGTGCTGGGGGGGGGGGAAGGGAAATGGGATGGGGGGAGAAGGAAGGGAGAGGAAGAGAAAGCAGGAGGGGGAAAGGAGAGGGAAATAGGGGAAGAAATAGGGGGAAAAAAGAGGAAAAGGGAGAAAGAAAAAGAGAAGGAAGAAAAATTGAGGAAGGAAAGAGAAAAAATGAGAAAGCGGAAAAAGAGAAAGAAAAAAGGAGGAAAAAGAGAAAGAGGGAGAAAGAATTGGAGAAAAAGAGTGAAAATGAGAAGGAGGGAGGGAAGGAAGGAGGGAAGGAGGGAAGGAGGGAAGAAAGGAAGGAAGGAAGGAAGGAAGGAAGGAAGGAAGGAAGGAAGGAAGGAAGGAAGGAAGGAAGGAAGGAAGGAAGGAAGGAAGGAAGGAAGGAAGGAAGGAAGGAAGGAAGGAAGGAAGGAAGGAAGGAAGGAAGGAAGGAAAGAAGGAAGGAAGGAAGGAAGGAAAAGAAATGGAGAAAGAAATGAGAAAGAGAAAAAAAGAGAAAAGGAAAAGGAGAAAGAAATGGAGAAAAAGTGAAAATGAGAAAGAGGGAAAAGGGAAGAAGAGAAGGAGAAGAGAAGGAGAAGAGGAGGAGAAGAGGTGGAGAAGAGAAGGAGAAGGAGAAGAGAAGGAGAAGGAGAAGAGAAGGAGAAGAAGGAGAAGAAGGAGAGGAAAAGAAGAAGAGGAGAGGAGAAGAGAAGGGAAAGAGGAAGGAGAGAAAGAGAGCAAGAAGGAAAGAGTAAAATAAGGTGAGGGAGATGACGTAGGGGGTGAGAGGGAGCTCAAGGATGCATAGAGCAGAGAACTTTGAGACAGTGGAGAGGGAGAGATGGAGAGAAAAGAGCCAGAAGAGAATGGAGAGAGCACAGGTAACGAGCGCGAGAAAAGAGTGCACAACTGAATGAACAGAAGAAATCAAAAAAGGGAGGAAGGGGAGCAAAAGAGGAGGAGAAAGAACAACAGAAAGTGATCACGAGCGTGAGGACGCTTGGGGCTGCGCCCGCTGCAGCCAGGGGTCCCCTGCACCCCGGGGCCCCGGCATCGCCCGCCCCGTCGTCCGTCGTCCCCATGTCCCCGCGGGCGTCATCACGATATCCGCGGCGCCGACCTGTCGTTGGTGACGGTCCTGCGCAGGCGCACGCCGCGCCGGATGGCCACCAGCATGTCTTCGGCCGGGGGGTCCATGGCGGGCGCGGGGGGCGGCGCGGGGGTCTCCTCCAACGCGGTGGGAAAGGGGAATTGGCCTTCTCCCAGAGCGTGGGCACCAGCCACCAGCTCGCCGATCTTCTCCACCAAGCTGTGCCGGTTGGCGGCCAACTGCTGGTCCTCCTCTTCGTCGGCGGCCATTGGATGCGCCGCCCCGGCGTACACCGAGATCTCGGCCACGCCGCCGCCCCAGGCAGCGTTGGGGAGGCTCAAGCGTTTGGGCGACGCTTTGGCAAAATCCATTGGGTTGGGTGAGGCATCCTCGGCGTAAAACATGCACTCCTCGCTGCCCACCCGCGCCGGGCCGGCGTAGACGGGTGAATCGGGCACCGTTGGGGTCTTGACGGGGACGATGGGTGGGCGGATGGGGATGGGGCCAGCGTTGGACAGGGTACGGCGGACCGAGGGTTTGGTGGAGGGCGTGCGGCGGATGGTGGCCACCCCAGGGGTGCTGCCGGCCGGCAGGTTGGTGCCGCTGGGCAGCCCGGCGGTGGAGGCGGGCCGCTTGGTCTGGATCATACGGCGGTAGTTCTGGGCGATGTTGCTGTTGCGAGGGATGGTTGAGGATTTGTCGAAGTCGCTCTGAGGGTCGCACTCCACGTCGCCGTTCACCGAGTAGCAGTCGTAGTCAGAACCTGGGGATGATGCGGGGTTAGGCCAAGAAGGTGATGGGAGGCCTGATGAAGATGTCAAGCCCAACTGCAGCCTCAAAACACTGCTGCTGCTGTCACAGCGTGGTCAGTGCCAAACCCAAAGGGCAGCACTGCAGTGCCAGCACAACCCGCCCCAATCAATACCAGCCTAACACCATTACAACCGACCCCAATGACTTGACTGCAGCCAGCCCCGTGCTGACGCCATCACGTGAGCACAAGCAAACCCAACCAACCCCATTGCAAGGAGACCACAGTCAGAGTTGTCACAGCATCACAGAATGGCTTGAGACCACAGAAGAGACCTTAAAGACCACCCAATTCCATATCCATGCCGAGAGCCAGGACATCTCCCATGGACCAGCTGCCCAAAGCCCCTTCCAACCTGGCCCTGAGAACCTCTAGGGATGGGGCACCCGCAGCTTCTCTGGACAGCCTGTGCCAGTGCCTCACCACCCCAACCAGCCCTAGCCATCGCCATCCCATAACTGCAAACTCAACCATCGCAACTTGACCGCAACCAGGCCCAACCATCTCCACCAAAATGTGACTACAAACTCAGCTGTGACTGCCGCAACTGGGCTCAACCATCCCACAACCAAAGCTAAACCCAAGCATCCCCACTGCAATGCAATCACAGCCGCCCCAATCGCTGTCATCACAACACGCTCGCAGCCAACCCAACCCCAAGTGTCTCAGTGGTTCCTCAGCCTCTGACCACGTTACTTTGCACCATCCCAACCACTGGCCATCATCACCACCACTACACCACACCATCACCCCCACACAATGCTCAGTGCAACCTGTTGTTTCCTTTCCTGCGTGCCACGACACTGCACACACTGAGATCCCAACACGCACATCCCAGTTTGCCCAGCACTGGCCCTAAACCCACACCCACAGCCTGATCCTACACCAGCAGTTCTCCATTGTGGCCACCAGCCCACAGCATCCCACTCCAGGCTGTAATCCCAGCAACAATGCAACGCACCCCAATCCTTCAACACAACCAGGGCACCCCGTCCCATGCAGGGCCAGCGGGATTGACACACTCCCACTTGGGAAATGTGAAATGCTTTGCAATGGGAGTGGAATGACTGGATGGGAACAGCGCTGTGGGTATATAAAACATGGAGAAGGCATCAGCTCAGTGCCCACAGGTGTCAACGTTGCCATGGAAAGCTGCCTCCGCCTCCTCCCACCCTCTGTGGGATGCCCTGTTGAGTACCTGGGAAGGGATGGTGTATGGGATGCCCCACTGAGTACCTTGGGAAGGGATGGTGTATGGGATGCCCTGTTGAGTACCTTGGAAGGGATGGTGAATGGGATGCCCCACTGAGTACCTTGGGAAGGGATGGTGTCCTCAGAGCAAGATGGGGTGGTGGTCTGAGTGCTGTAGCCACTGGAGTACTGCAGCGAGTCCCGGCTGCTCTTCTGGTGCTCCAGGCTCAGCCCCCGTGTGAGCACCATGGCCAGGTCGCTGGCGGCAGGGGACACCTCCTCGCCATGCTGTGGGGGCAAGGATTGTCAGCACCCCAAGGGAATCCTCGGGCCTCACCACCCATCCCCACAACCACTACCTTGGCTGCAATGGTGGCCGGTGACATTCGGGGCCTGGGAGCATCCTCGCTGCCCATGGCCGGGTACGCGCCGCTGGCTGAGCCCATCTCGGCTTCCCGCAGGTGCTCCACGCGGTCCTTTCGTCGCTGTAGGGTGCTGACCACGGGCTGGTCATAGGGGCTGGCCTTGGACCAATCCTGCCAACAACAAGGCAACAGTGGGGAAAACGGGGTGTGGGGAATAGGGAGGCGTAAGTCTGGGGACCTTTTGGCATTCGTCCTTCAAGCTGGGGGTGGCACCGGCCTGGGATGCTCTGCCCCATGGGGGAACGCCTCTTGGGGAGGAGAGGAAGAGGAGGATGATGAAGTCTCCACTGCTGTGCTCTGAGAGAGTGAGGACTCACCGAGGTGGGGGAGCTGCACTCGCTGACCGACTGGCACGTCTCTGAGGCCTCTGAGGACGCTGAGCTGGAGGACTTCTGCCATGCCCAACAATCCAGGAACAGCAGAGAGTGCAGGAGGAGAGAACAGAGCCGGTGAGCCGGTGCCATAGAGCTGCACCTCTGGCAACATCAGCACCACCCGGGTCCCTGGAGCATCCTTGGTACCAGGGAGGTTGCAGGGTGAAGGGAAAGCACTTTTCTGGGGATGCTACCAATTGGCTCATTAAAAGGTTGAGGCAATTTGGAAACAGTCTGTTTTCTCGACATGGGGCTGAGAACTGGTGCACTGTGCCCATTCCACAGATGGGGAAACCGAGGCCCAGGAACATCATCCCCTTCCGTGCCCACTGTACCTGGCTGGTGATGTCTGAGGGCATCGGGGAGGGCGGTTTGGAGTAGGCAGCATCCTGGGAGATGAAGCCGGAGTCGTGCGAGGAGACGCTGGAGAGGCGCGTGCCGGCGCTGGCCGGCTGGGCCAGGCTGCGGTAGCGATAGGTGGAGCTGGGTGAGCAGGTCTGAGCCCCCCCGGGCCACGGGAGGCCACCCTTGGCACTGCTGACACTGCTGGGGGGCACGCGGGGCGCGAGGGGCAGCAGGAGGACAAAGGAAGGAAAGGACAGTTTGAGACACAGGTTTGGCACGTGCGTGCGTGGGGACAGAGCAGGCGGTGTGTCCCCATCATCCCACTCGAGGACAAAGCATGGCTGGGGAAACGAGGAACGAGGGTGCCACCCCGGGGATGGGGACAGGGGACATGCTGGTGAGCCCCATGCACCCTACATCTACCCCAAAAGCCAGGGAGGGGGCATGCACTTGGCCACCAACTCATCCCCATCTCCCCAGCACTACTGTCCCATCCCCATCCTTCTCCCTGCCCCAAGACCGGTTCCTCTGTGCTACTGGGGACCCGAGGGCCACCATTTGGCTCCAGGGTGAACGACGCACCTGCACATGCTTGATTTGCGGGAGCTGGAGCTGCTGGGCGACGATGGAGGGGTCTGGTAGGACCAACTGTAGTCGGAGCCCTTCAGGTCCTTGATCACCTGCAGCAAGGAGGGGTTGGAGCCCCCCAGGTGGCACTCACCCCCCATAACCCTGAGTACCCCACGCACTGACCTGCTCGCTGGCAGGGGGCAGCTTGTGGGGCTCGGCGGTGAGCACCACCAGGTCGTCGATGATGCCCTGCAAGTGGGTGATCTCCCCCAGCATGGTGAGCTCCCCGTTCTGCAGCCGGACAAGTGAGACAGCGTCAGCCTCCCAGGTGACGTGGGGACCCCAGCACCCCTGCGGGATCCCAGGACTCACCACCACGGGCTGCAGGAAGGTGATGAAGGTGCAGAAGCGGCCCCGCTCCTCGATGAGCGCCTTGCGCACCGCCTGCTTCTCCGTCTCCTCCAGCAGCAGGTACATGTCATTGACGTCCTGCAGCGCGTTGTCCAGCTGGGGCTGCAGGTCCCCTTTCCCTGCGGGGGATGAGGTGACATCAGCCCCATATCCCCATGGATGAGCCCCTACTGAGCTGCGGACGGATGGGGTACCGTCCCCACGGATGGGGATGTCACCGAGGGGCCGTGAGCTGAGCTAGGCTAAAAGCAGGGCTGGACGGATGGACGGACGGACAGACGGACAGACAGACAGACGGGACAGCCCTCAGCAAAGGGGGAAACCTGGGGATGGGGGAGGGTTTGGCTTCACCCAGTCCCAAGGGGAGACACAGATAAGGAAGCAGAGTGGGGCCGGAGCGGGGGCAGCGCTTCACTTACCCAGCAGCTCTGCGGGAAGGATGTGGAGGGGAGGAAAAGAGAAGGAGACAGAGAGAGAACGTGTGAAACGACAGCCAAGGTCCCCCCGCACCCCCACCCCAAACCCTCACCCAGCTGACCCTTACGAGCCTTCTTCTGCAGCTTGAGTGTGTCAGAGGATTTCTTCTTGATCTCGTGGCGGGCTCGCTTGTACTCTGTGGGTACAGGGCACTGTGATGGGGTGGGACCCAAGCATCCCTCCTGGCATAGATCTGTCCTGTCCAGTCCCATCCAATCCCATCTTGTCATGTCTCATTCTATTCCACCCCATTACATCCATTCTATTCCACTCCACCCTCTCCCACCCCATTTCATTCCATTTAATCCTATCCCATCCCATCTCGTCATGTCCCATTCCATTCCACCTTGTCCCACGCCCTCCCATCACATCCCATTCCATTCTATTCCATCCCATCTTGTCCCATTCCTTCTCATCACATCCCATTCAATTCCATTTCATTCCTTCCCATCCCATTTCATCCCAGCCCATCATGTCTTATTCCCTTCCATCCTATCTCATGCCATCATGTCCCAATCCATTTAATTCCATTCTATTCCATCCTATCCCATGCCATTACTTCCCATTCCATTCCATCCTATGCAACCCCCTCCCATCACGTCCCATTCCATTCCATTCCATTCCATTCCATCCTATCATATCCCATTCCATTCTATTCTATTCCATCCCATCCCTCCCGTCCCATCCCTTCCCATCCCATCCTATCCTATCCTATCCTATCCTATCCTATCCTATCCTATCCTATCCTATCCTATCCTATCCTATCCTATCCTATCCTATCCTATCCTATCCCATCCTATCCTATCCTATCCCATCCCATTCCATCATTCCATTTCATTCCATCCTATCCCATCCCATCACTTCCTATTCCATTCCAACTTATACCATTCCCTCCCATCCCATCCCACTCCATTCCATTCTATCCTATCCTATTCCATTCTACTCCATTCCATCCCATCCCATCCTGCCACATCCCATTTCATCCCATCCCTTCCCAGCACGCCATCCCATCATGTCCTACCCCATTCTATTCCAACCCATCCCATCCTGTTCCATTCTATCCCATCCCAACTCATCCACCCCTCTTGTCTCATCCCATGCCACTCCACGCCATCCCAACCTTTTGCGTGGTCCTTGTCCAACTGGTTGGCAGTTTTCTTCCAGTCCTCAATTCTGTCCTGCAGAGGGTTGATCAGGCTCTCCATCAGGGCACTGGGATGGGGGGAAACAAGAAAAAAAGATGGAGTGGGGGGCTGGGGAGGGAGGGGAGCGGGGCGAGGGCTGAGCCCGGCCTCCTCACATCCCCGCTGCCGTCACCTACTTGGTGAACTGCCGGAGCTTGGCCTCGATGCTGCGGTGCCGCATGCACATACGGGTCAGCGCGGAGCCGATGTCCCTCGTGGCCCCTTGGGGGAGAAAGGGACCCCGCTGAGCGCAGGGATGGGGACGGTCGCGTTTGGGCACCGGGACGGCGGTGGGCGGCGTTTTCCCAGGCCAAACCCGCCAGATGAATGGCCGGCCGGCCCCTCGATCGTTAACTCTGCTCTGCGAACTCGCCCGTTTGTCCCCCCGGGCTGATGGGTGGGACGCGTTCACTCTGAAGCCTAAGGACGGCCACGCGGTGGCACTGCTGCAAACCCCGGTGGCCATCAGCGATCCCGTCCCGCAGGCCGGGCAGTCTCTGCCCCAAAAGCCCCAAGCGTTGACCCCCGGGCAGCCAGGGATTCCACATCGCCCCCAGCACAGCCCTCAGCCCCCACACGCAGGGCATCCCTTAATCCTCCTCCTCCCAGCTCTCCTCCTGCCCCTAATCCGATTCCACACCCCCACAGGCAGGGACATCTCCAGCCCCACATCCTCAGCCACCAGTGGGGCATTACAGCCTTCATCCCACCGCAGCGGGGTTGCCCCAAACTTTGTCCCCTGCCCAGAGCCGGGTGTCTCCCTGCCATCCCCCAGTGCTCTAATCCCCCCCAGTGCAGTGGGCCACTGGGTTTGGAGACAAATCTGCTTGTGGCTCAAGCTGCCTTCCTCCTCCTCCTCCTCCACCTCCACCTCCTCCTCCCGCACGGCTCCAGATGGCCCTGGATGCCGCCAGTCTGCAAAACAGCCCCGGACCATCTGCTTGGCACAACCAAGCGGTGACACGCAGAGCCTGCACAGGGACACAGTGCTCGGAGGGACCCCACATCTCGCAGGGAGGGGAGATGTGCAATTTGTCACACTGGGAGACGCTCCACAGCACAGGGGACATCCTATCCGGGGACATCCCGCAGGGGGACCCTACCTCGAGTGTTGGTGGCCATGTCAGCCACTTTCTGGAAGGCATCCAGGAAGGCGACCGCAGCCAGCACCGTGGTCCTGCAGGGAGAGGGACATGGAGCTCAGTGCTGCTGTCACCCCGTGGGTATGGGGACGCCGCCAGCAGGGTGCCGGTGGCACCATCCAGACCACTCACCTGAGCTGGGAGTGCAGCTTGGTGGCCTTCGAGTTGAAGTCCTCCCAGATGGGGTAGGAGCTCTGCAAGAGGGGAAGGCAGTGGTCAGACCCTGAGCCTCTGGCAGAGCCCCCACGCTGCCCCCGTGGGGTGGCATCTCTGATGGCTCTGAGCACGGCCCCTGCCCTCCACCACCCTCATCCTTCCTGGTTTGCCCCGTTCCAGTCTCAGTGATGCCTTCATCTCAGGGGTGGAGGAAGCAGAAGGGACAGGGACAGGTCGCCGGTGCTGGGGAAGCATCCCAGTGCCATCCCAGCAAAACCAGTCCCGGCGTCCTCTCGGTGAGGCCATCCCTGTGCCACTGTCACGAGGAGGAGCCGTCCCAGTGAGGTCTCATATTGGTCCCAGTAAGGCCATCCCAGTGCCATCCCAGCAAGGCTAATCCTGGTGCCATCACACGTCGAGCCCATCCCAGTGCCACCATCCAGAGAAGCCAGTCCTAATGTCCTCCTGGTGAGGTCAATCCTGGTGCCACCTCGGTGAGGTCATCCCAGCGCCACGCAGCAAGTCCTGGTGCCAGCCCAATGTCACCACCCCGGCGAGGCCGTTCTGATGCCACCATCTCGGTGAGGCTTGTCCCAGTGCCACCATCCAGGCAAAGCCATCCCACTGTCCTGGTGAGGGCACCACCCGATGGAGGCGTTGGGGCTTGCAAAGACCCTGGAGATGAGCCTTGGTGGCACCTCTGTCTCATTTGGGGACAGCTGGTGTGGGTGGGGAGCAGGGCTGATCCAGCAGTGCTTTGGAGGCTACAAAAGTCCCATGTCCATAAGGAAGCCATCCGTGGAGAGTGTTGCTCGGCGTGTGACATCTCTCTGCTTCTGGTAGGCCCACGGGGACAGCCATCATGGCTGGGGACCACGTCCCCATGCCCACCTCCATGCCCCGTCCACCGGGCACATCCCCATCCCTCGGTGACACCAGGACAGGGGTGAGGACGATGGAGACAAGGGCAACACTGGGGACAAGGACACGCCAAGGTCACCTGGGGACGTTGCACAGCAGGGGGAAGGCATTGGGAAGAAACCCAGAGACCATCACGAGGCTCCTCTGTCCTCCTCCCTGAAGCCACCAACCAGTGCCAAAAAGCCACTGATGTCCCCGCTGCCACCAAGATGAGATCCTTTGGCCTTGGCCCCACGTGGGAGCATCGCTGTGTTCAAATGCTGGCTGCAATTACCCATCCTGTGGCCACCGGGACCCCACGTGGTGACAACACTGGGGACAGAGATGCAGCACCCATAGGGCCCTATGTTGCCTGGTGCGAGCAGAGCTGTTGTCGTAGCACGTTGTCTTTTTTCCTCCCTTTTTTTCAGCCTTTTCCACCAAAAGGAAAAACGATCACCCATCCTAGGAATGAATCCGGCTCGCTGTCACGGCGAGGAGCTCCCGGCCCCATAGAGTTGTGGTCCCTGCTGTCACCAGCACGGGGATGGTGGCTGCAGGCTGGTTAAGCCCATGGGCAGAACGGGGATACTGAGGCACAGGGCGATCCATGCTCAGAGCTCAGGCTGAGCCAGGGACTCCAAACCCCCTTCTGCCCCATAAGGATCACCCCATCACCCTTGCAATAATAATAATAATGAGATTTCCTCCCTCGGGAGCTCTCTCCCACCACCCCCCTCCCCAGACACCACCGGCCCCCGAAGGGTTAATCCCTTTCTCAGGGAAGCTTTTATTTATTTATTTATCTTTTTTATCCCCCTCCCCTGTTCTGGCAATGACAGCATTGTCTGGCCGGGCTGCAGTGAGGAGCCGAGCAGAGGAAGAAGAGGAGGAGGAGGAGGAAGACGAGGACGAGGAGGACGAGGCTCTGCCTCCGGGAGCTGCAGCCCAACGCGGGGGCACCGCCGGACCCGCTAAGCTCAGCACTTGGAAGAGCCCCCATTCCCTCCCCCCCCCCCCCTCCGATGCAGCGTGCGGCCAAAAATCGTTGAAAAAAACAGAAAAAAATTATAGAAAAATAAACCTTCTCCCCCCTCCCCCCCCACCTCATCCCTCCCCCACACGCCCAGCAGTAAAACGGGATGGGGGAACCTGAGGGGGGGGGGCTGAATCTTTGCGCTCCCCTCGGTGCGGTGAACGCCGTAGGGGGCTGGGGGCTCCGGTAAGCGATCCGGGGCTGATGTCGGGGTCCGGGTGCCCGGTATGGGGCTCCGGTAACAGATCAGGGGCTGATGTCGGGATCAGCGTTCCCGGTTCGGAGCTCCAGGTGCCCGATTTAGAGCTACGTTAACCCGGTTTGGGGCTCCGAGTGCCGATATGGAGCTCCGGTACCGATCCAAGGCTGATGTCGGGGCTCCGAGCGCTAGGTTTGGAGCTCCGGTACCGATCTGGGGCCGATGACGGGGCTCCGGTGCCCGGTTCGGAGCTTTGGGGCTCCGGGTGCCCGGTATGAAGCTCCGGTAAGCGATCCGGGGCTGATATCGGAGCTCCGCTTCTCGGTTTAGAGCTCCGATAATCCGGTCCGGGGCTCCGGTCCCGATCCGGTGTTGATGTTTGGGCTCAGGCGGCCACCCGGTGCCGGATCCCGGCTCCCGGTTCTCTCCCCGTGCCCGCCGCCCCCCGGTGAGGACGGGAAACGCTGCCCGGCGACAGTCGGGTTCGGAGTGGGGGGTTGGGGAGGGGGGGACCCTACCTTCATGTCGTTAATGATGGCCTGGAAGAGCCCACCGAGGGCTCCGCACTCCTTCTCCGCCGTCTCCATCGCTGCGGCAGCCCCGGGGCGGGCGGCGCCGCCGGGGGAGGCCTCGTCGGGGCCAGGCTCAGCGGCGGGGGGCGGCGGGGGGGTCGGGGCGGCGCGGAGGGGCCGGGAAAGGCATCGCCTCCGAGGGCACCCGCCGGGCTCAGCGGGCCCCGACGGCGGAGGAACGGAGAGGAACGGATGGGAGAACGGAGAGCGGAGCTCGGAGCCCGGGGCGGCGGCGAAGCGGGGCGGAGAGGGGCGGGATCTGCAGCGGCACATGCGCTGCCCGGGGTCTGGGGGAGGGAGGGGAGGGTGGGTGGGTTTGGGGATGCTGAGGTTTCGGGAGGGAGGGAGGAGGGGGAGAAGAGAGGAGGGTGGCAGACGGAGCACCCGAGGGATGCGGGGGGTTTTGGGGCAGCGAGTGGGTTGGTTGAGTTGGGAATGCGTTTCCGAGGGATGCTAGGGGGTGCAGGTACGGGGGAGACGTGGGGGTGTCCCAAGGGCAGTGCATTGGGGTTTGGAGCAGCCCTGTAAAGCAGCTTCAGGGGTGCAGTATCCTCTGGGGGCAAGGATGGGGGGAGATGGGGATGGTGATGCTTAGGGGGTACCAAGGATTGGGGGTGCAGGAGGTTGCACCCTGAGCTGCTGGGGGGGCTGGGGATGCAGCTCTTGGGGGTTCAGTGCTGGGCCTCATAGAGATGCTTGGGGGATGCCAAGGATGGGGGTACATGGGGTTGCTCTGGGATGCTCTAAGGGCAGTGCTGCACTGCATGGGGACCCCAGGAAGCAACTGTGGGATCGCTGGGGGTGGAGCACTGGGATCCAAAGGGATGCTGAGGACGGGAGGCGCAGGGGCACACAGCTACCTACTCTGGGGTAACACCACGGGAACCCAAGGGGTGCTTCGGGGGATGCTGGGGGGACTCTTGGGGCTCTGTGGGACAGTCCTCAATCCAAGCTGAGATCTGGGGGGTCTCCCGAGCTGCAACTCGGTCACAGCACGCAGCCAACAAGATCCTACTGCCACAAAGCCACCACCCCAATGTCCCAGTGGCACCGCACTGCTCCTCCGGCCAGCACTGGGCAAGAACCGTCCACAAGCAAACTATTAGGGCTGGAATTTCTCCCTGTAAAGCCGTCCCTTTGGGGGTGGTGGTGGCAGGTGACACACGGCAGCGTCCCAATGTTCCCTCTGCACCCCAAGCAGTGGCAGAGGGCTGGAAGAACCCAGCTGCCCCATCCTGGAGGGGACGGCTTTTAAAGTTAACCCGCCATGACCGGGTTTGGAAAGCCCTTTCCCGGGAATGCCAGGAATGTCGTGATCCCATCCAAAGCAGCTCGGAGCGGGGCTGCCTGGGGAACCCGCTGCCAGAGCCATAAACAGGCTAGGGGCCATAAAAACCCTCTGCATTCCTCCAGCCCCCTCCCCGGGATCAGGTGAGGGCCCGAAATGCTCTGGGAGAGGGACGGGAATGCAGATTAGACCCCGAAAACGCAGCCGCCCACTGCATGGTCCCTGGATGCTGGCTTCACCCTGGTTGTTTTGGGGCCAGGAAAATGCCTGTCACTGCGCTGCGGTTCCATGAGCGCGGCTGGGAAGAATTCCGGCTGCTTTTTCCCACTTGGGGTGGAGAAACGCTGGAAGGGGTCCAGCCTAAGGGCCAGCGTGGCAGGGCCGCAGCAGGGACCCCATATGCAGCCTGGGGAGGATTCTGGCTTCTGGGCCTGGATGGGTCTGGTTGGGAACCCCAGCACTACAAGGATGGAGCAGCCCGGGGAAGGCACAGCAAGGCTGCTCTGCATCGTTCTTTTTATTTGATGGCAGGGAGCTTAGGATAGGAACAAAGAAGGGATGCGTGGAGCGAGGGCTCTCCTCCGCCCGGCACTGGGATGAGGCTGAGCCTCTGGCTAAGAAAGAGGGGCTCGGGGTGCCGGGATGCTGCCCCGCTCCCTTCCCAGTGGGGAGGACCCACTTTGCTCCCTCCTTCCCTTCCCCATGCGTTTCTTCCCCTCCGGTCCCGCTGGCAGGAGGCCGGGCACTCAGCTGACGGTCACGGGGAAGGCATTAGCGAAGCAAAGTCTGCTCACCCTATTGCAAGAGAAGACACCGTGCCTTCCCTGCTCCCTCTCCTCCCGCAGCTTCCAAGCACGACGCCGGGCACAGCCTGGGGTCCCCCACACTGACACAGAGGGGGAAAACCCCCACACCCTCTGCCCTAAAAGCACCAGCGTTTCCGCTGTCCCCAGGCCCTGGTCCGTGTTCCCTTGTCCCCGTGCTCAGAGCACGACGCGTCGCTCCGGCTGCTCTGCCCGCCCCGCTCGCTGGTGCCGCACTTCCAGGTGTTTGCTCTGGACCTTGTCAAAGTGCTGCAGCAGCTCCGTGTAGTCGATGGTGGAGGATGCCGGCCTGCGGGAGCTTGCGCTCGTCCTGCTGCCGTCCCTGCGGGGAGAGAAGGGATGTGGGCATCCAACACACGGTGCTGAGCCAACGGGCGCAGCCTCTAAGAGAGGTGGTTCCCTCCTGCAGAGGCAGGAGATGCAGTTCCAGAGGGCTGGGTGTTGGCGAAAAGGTTTTCCTTCAGAAGAGCAGTGAGGCAGTGGCACAGCTGCCCGAGGATGGGGGAGAGTCACTGTGCCTTGGGATGTCCCAGAGCCGTGGGGATGTGGTCAGTGGGCACGGTGGGGGTGGGCTGGGGTCGAACTTGGGTTGTCTGAGGGGTCTCTTCCAACCTTAGTGACTCTATGATGAGCAGGGGAAGGATGGGATAAAGAAGAGGACACACACATCCGGAACCCCAGGATGCAAGAGCCCCGTCTTGCCTCTCTTTGGTTTTAGGAGAAAGAAACCCGAATTCTCTGATGTTTCGGTGGGGCGGGGGGACAAGGGGCGTCCCCACCACACTCAGCTGCCCCGGGCTCACCGTTATGAAAGCAGCCTCCGGTGTTTGGAGGAATGTAGGTCAGCGTTAATCAGATGCTCGAGCTGGCTGACAGCTCGGATCGCTCTGAAAACCCGGCTGCTGCGGGAGGAGAGGGAGGGGGGATCACGGCGGGGGGGCCAACACACGGCCCCCTCCCTGCCCCACCAATTAGGAGCAGGGCGGTGGGCACCAGCTCCAGCCCTGCAGCGGTAGGGATAAAAGCCAGCCCGGGGGATGAGCTGACAGCAGAGCAGTGGAGCTGGTGGGGGTCGAATTCATAAAGCCGTGCAGCTCAGGAGCGCTCCTTTTTTCCGGAGGTTTCATCGCGGCGAGCGCACGGCCCTGCTTGTTAGCCAGGGCTGGATGGCCAAAGCCCAGCAGTGGAGCCCCAGTGTGCCAAAAGGAGAGGGATGGGGGGTGGAAATCCCGATCCTGCAGCACAGGGGGGGCACAGGGGGCCGTCTCCATCACCATCACCGCAGAGCTGCCCCTGGGCAGCACAGCCATCCCTGCTGGCGAGGCGTCACAGCGCCTTTGGGTGCCCGGACGAAGGGGGGACGCATTGGGAGCTGCCTCCTCGCTCCGTCGTCCTCCGTGGCTCTGCCTGTTTCCATAGCGACCCCACAAAGTGAAATTTTCCATCCCCGATGCCAAATGCCTGCGGATGAGGCGCAGCCCTCCCAGGGTTACCAAATATAGACAAAAAAACCCCAAGCGAGAGCCGCCGGGCGCATCCCCGCCGCACTTACGCGCTCTGCATGAGCTCGGGGTTGGGGACGCACTGCAGGCGGTGGGACAGCAGCTGGAAGGCACTGCTCTGGGGCAGCAGCATCAGCAGCCCGTAGAGTGCCTTGATCAGGTAGGGGTTGTTCTTCACGTCCAGCAGCTGCAGGCGCAGGTCTGCAAAAGGAGAGGAAGGGGATGGTGAAGCACTCTGCTCCCAGCTTCCACTGTTCCTGGTTCCTCCCAACCTGCCGGCATGGCTGCAATTTCGAGGGGTGTTGCACCAGCGATCCCGTTGCAGTAACTCCTCCATGTGTCCCCGAGAGCACCTCTGAGGTCCCAGCATCCCTCCCCAATGGCACCTCCCAGCCCAACGCTCTGCTCCCTGGGCACTGCCAGCCCAGCCAGCGAGGCAGGAGCCAGCAGGGCTGCCACCTGGCAACACGTGGGCTTGTCACTCCCTGCACCCTTTGGGATCGTGCAGTGAGATCAAAGAATACCCCAAGTTGGAAGGGACCCGTAAGGACCATCAAGTCCAGCTCCTGATGTAGGTGACCCCAGCCAACATCATGGGCCTGACCCTCACCTCACCTCCCATCTGCTGCCACCATTCTGATGTCTTCCCATGCCCATGTGTCCCCAACCCCACCATCGAGAGGTTAAGATGAGCAGGTGGGGAACCCTCAAGGAACAACTCAGAGCTATGCATACCCACCAACACACACGGATGTCTCACATGGGAGGAAATGAGGTGTGGACCTTGGGGACCAGTGTCCCTGGATTGTGACAGGTCCATGCCATGTGCCCCAATCCCCCCCAATCACTCTGTAGGGCCACTTGCTCTGATAACCCACATTGAGCAGCTCTAGCTGAGGGCTGAGCAGCGAGAAGTCCGATAACTTCTGCTCTATTTCCTCACGCAGCGCTGCTGGGAAGCATGGGGAGGGGATGGAGGGGCTGGCAGAGCGAGCGCCCCGTGCACGGCACAAACCCGAGAGGAAGGAAGGGGCCGAGCCTTACATGTGAATATGGGGCACTCGATGAGCTGCACCAGTTTATCCACCTCGGTGAGGAAGTCCACTGTGACCTCCAGGTCCCCACTGAGCGTGGCTGTTAAGGATGCAGCACAGCAGTGGGTGGCCCAGCAGCAGAGTGATGTGTGGGGCAGAGGGGTCCCAAATCACAGAATGGTTTGAGTTGGAAGGGACCCTAAAGGCCGTCTGCTCGCAGTCCCTGCACTGAGCAGGGACACCCACAGCTCCATCAGCGCTCACAGCCCCGTGCCCTGACCTTGGCTGTGTGCAGGGATGGGGCAGCACCAGCTCTGTGTGCAGCCTGTGCCTCAGCGCCCTGAGTGTAAAGAATTTCTTCCTTGGCTCCAGCCTAAATCTCATTTTAGTTTGAAACCATTTCCCCTTGTCCCATCACAACAGGCCCTGATAACCAGTCTGTTCCCTGTCTTCTTACAGCCCCTTTAAATACTATGAAAGGATAGGAATGTCTGCCTCCTGCACTGTGCCTTGCCACGTGCAGACCCAGTGTGTGCTGGGTCTCACTGTGACTCCACTAGTGGAGTCCCTAACCCTGGAAGTACCCAGGGGATGTGCACTG